GGTAAGCGGCATAAACATTAAAATTAGGCTCCGAGAGCAGGGGTGGATCAAGCTGTCGGCGAGGGAGGGGGCCCAATTTATGAGATAACAGCCGACCGGCAGAATAAGCGGAGGGGGGAGGGGGGGGGGAGCTCTATTCATAACAACACCCCCCCCCCCATTTGAGTTACAACAATTAATTACTATCTTATTTTTTAAACCTTTTTTTTTTTTGCCAGGGGAGGGGGCCCCTCCCGGCCCCTTCCCCCCCCCCCCCCCTAGATCCGCCCCTGATTGAGAGTTATAGATCAAAAGAAAAATCAATTTCTTTAGTCCTGGAATTGGAACAAATGGTATATTGTCTTAGAAAGAATTATAGGCCATGCTAGTGAGATGAAAGAAAGCAGGTTTTAAAAAAAGAGAAAAAAAGAGAAAATATCTATGATAGCAGGGTCTTCGTTGAATCACCTCTTTTTCCTACTCTTTCCTTTCTTTTATTTTAGTTTTTCTGAGTCATATCTGCATAGACCCCCCCCCCCCCCCCCCCCCCCGCGAGGGCCCGCGACGCCGTGAGAGAGAGAGAGAGAGAGCCCAGATGGGCTGAGAGGGGGTATGGTTGAAGATAAAGTAGAAAGAGAGAGAGAGAGAGAGAGAGAGAGGAGGGGTATGGTTTAAGAGGGCCCGCGACGCCGTGAGAGAGAGAGAGAGAGAGAGAGAGAGGGGAGGGGTATGGTTTAAGAGGGCCCGCGACGCCGTGAGAGAGAGAGAGAGAGAGAGAGAGAGAGAGAGAGAGAGAGAGAGAGAGAGAGAGAGCTAGGGCCCAGAGGGGCTGAGAGGGGGTATGGTTGAAGATAAAGTAGAAAGAGAGAGAGAAAGAGAGAGAGAGAGAGAGAGGGGGGGGGGGTAGGGAGATTGGTTTCATCACGGTTAGGACATGAAGCAAGCTATATGGGCAGCGACTCAAAAACGGGGAACGGGCGAGGGGGTCTCGATGGACGCGACATTTTACGAAGGCAACCGAGCTAATAAACGAAAAAGAATGGTTATAATGATAATGCGTATTTGCAGTATAAAAATACAATTTTAGCGACATCCCTCAATGGCTGCGAGGACCCATGCACGCCACGCCACGATTACTTTGGAATCTGAATAACACCTTTACCATACAACCATGGTATTATTTGCAATGTAAAAGTCATATAGGATTGGTGTAGTATAAAAACAAAATTAGATTCCTCAAGGTTTTAATGTTAATATTCATTAGCTTTGAAGTTATTTGTTTTAAATTTCTTGAATTTAATTGGTACAGAAAAAAAAATGCTTTAGACACAAGCTAAAACATAATGATGTGGGAATGGCTAAATCTTAATTGGTAAGCGGCATAAACATTAAAATTAGGCTCCGAGAGCAGGGGTGGATCAAGCTGTCGGCGAGGGAGGGGGCCCAATTTATGAGATAACAGCCGACCGGCAGAATAAGCGGAGGGGGGAGGGGGGGGGGGAGCTCTATTCATAACAACACCCCCCCCCCATTTGAGTTACAACAATTAATTACCATCTTATTTTTTAAACCTTTTTTTTTTGCCAGGGGAGGGGGCCCCTCCCGGCCCCTTCCCCCCCCCCCTAGATCCGCCCCTGATTGAGAGTTATAGATCAAAAGAAAAATCAATTTCTTTAGTCCTGGAATTGGAACAAATGGTATATTGTCTTAGAAAGAATTATAGGCCATGCTAGTGAGATGAAAGAAAGCAGGTTTTAAAAAAAGAGAAAAAAAGAGAAAATATCTATGATAGCAGGGTCTTCGTTGAATCACCTCTTTTTCCTACTCTTTCCTTTCTTTTATTTTAGTTTTTCTGAGTCATATCTGCATAGACCCCCCCCCCCCCCCCAGTGGCGTACCTGGGGTACTCCGTCAGGGGGGGCAAGCGACCGAAACAAACAAAAAAGGCGATGCTAATTTTCACTTCTGGCGAGCGAGCGAGCGAGCAAAAAAAAATCTTTAAGTAACGTTTGGTATATAAACTGGTATTGTTGCAAGTTGGGGGTGGGAACATTCACTTGTTAGCGACGTTAATTTCATTTTTTTGCAAACTAGTGTAGCGAGCAAGAAAAAAATCACTTCTTTTTAATAATTGCCACTTAAACTTGGTTCAATTGTCCCATGCAGGGCGCGGGAACAATATTGTGTTTAGGGTGATTTTATACCCATTTTAGCTAGCGAGCGAAAATACATCTTTCTCTCAATGAATTGCTATATAAAATTTGTTTCATTGTTGCAGGTAGGGGGCGGGCACAATCGTGTTTAAGGCAATGTCAATCCCATTTTGGCGGGCAGGCAACCCCCTACATTTCTCTTTTTAATGATATTGTAGCAGATTAGTGGTGGGCACATAATTCCACGAGCTAGCGAGCGAAAAAAAAATCACTTTTCTTTTATAGGGAAAATATGGTACATAAAACTTGGGTTCATTGTTCCATGTCAGGGACGTGATTATTAAAAGCGGTGTTAATTCTATTTTGGC